GCGATGCACTTGTTACTAATAGCTTCTTGTTACTACTAGTAAGGCACCTGTTCCTAGTAGCGTGGCACTTGTTACTACTAGCTTCTTGTTACCCCAAGACTGTTCACTTTGGAAAGACAAACAAATATGGATCCTAGTAGCGTCCGATCGCTCCTAGTATGCCCAGGAGCCCCGTTCGTAGCGTCCTTGCTATAGGAGAATCCTTTTCAGTGTTTGATCCCCCTTCGAATTGTGTTTTTGCCGGTCAGATTTCCGCTCCTGATTGTTCTCGGTCCTCTGGCACATTGCCTGTCGAGTCAACAACCTCTCTGCATTGATCTTCCGGACCAAACTGCAAAAACCAGCACAACTGCCGAGCATTCCTGCCGGGACCTGCCAACAGCTTCTCTGCTTCTCTCTGTTGCACCAGGGCGCCTTCCTCATAGGCCTCCAGAGGGGCTTCATCTTCTCCTTCGGCAGACCTTGGAGAAACCAACGGTGCACGTGACCCAACTAACTCTATCACAAACTGTACAACCAGCACAGCAAAACTGGGAAACTATGTCAAGGTATGACAGTGTTTTTAAAAGAAGACACACCCAATATACGATCGTTGAGACACACAAACTGTCCGTACCCAGGTCCCATAAGAACCCATGTTCAATTGACTGGAGCCTGTTGTAGATTCCTCCGAGCACAAGGTGAGCGTTACAACACATTTGCTGATGTGAAAACTGAGCCCAGGTATAGACCCTCCAATCGAACTACAAGTTAGTTAAGTTATGAAGTTAAACCTACCTACCTTTGTTCCGCTTCCATACAGACAGATTGCCGAAGCAAGAATCTTAACCTCACCTCATGCTCTGCCATTGTGTGACATCGATTTCTGAGTCTCTGAGGGACAGGCATCATGGTGGCACAAGTCTCTGGCGTCTCTCTTGAGAGCTGTGTGATAAGAGCAAAAGGTCTAAATTCAATGGACATCAATGAAGTTGGTGAGACTAAATTACTGTTGATTTTGGATATTTTTGGATCATAAAGGAATGCAAATCCTTCTGCGATTCTCTTCGGCGCGGCCTCTTTGAGCCAAACAGCCAGTGGCAGGTAATCGAAAGTGGTCGTGAGTTGTCGTGAGACACCACCCGCTGGGGAAAGTGATGAGCGGAATACACAGGAGCCCCTAGTAGCTTCTTGTTCCTGGGGGAGAAATGCTGCTGTGGTGTGGCACACCCCTTTCATCCTGCAATCTGAGATCCTTCTCAGGCGCCAGATGTCTTTTCTTTCACCCTTCTCAAACGACCAAGCAATGCAGCAAGAATACACACAAACTACACACGTGTTCCACCACTTAGTCCTTAGAGTCCCTCTCTAGCCTCTCCCTCTCTCTCTCTCAGAACTGCACGTGCCACCTTAAGAGGGTTCGAGAAGGGGAAAAAGGACAGGCCTGCGGCACACCCTTCTTGTGCCGCCCATCTTCCTATCACCACCCACTGAGGTCGACTGAGGTCTCCCACTCCCAGTCGGTAGTGGTGGCGAGCCTCAACGGAACCGACATGAACCGGTCGGAACCAGACGTGTTTCTTCCGGTTCGCGCCCCTTTTTTGGTGCCAATTTGGTCGCCTGCTTTTGGAGATCGTTTGAGGCCACTGAGTCCCACTCGGGAACCCTTTGGAAGCTGGAAGGGGCCTGAAACAGCCGTAGGTAGGACCTTTAGGCCTTTGGAGCGCGCATACGCCCATGTCAGGCAACAACTGAGAAGCAAAAAATATAGAAAAAGACACGCGCACCCCCGCTGCCATGCAACATTTTTTGCTTGCAAAGTTCACTATGCCATGTCTTGCTGCCATCGCAAGCGTTGCAACTAAGTTGCCGGACCAGGCGTCCAAACTTGCGTGACCCAATCCCTGCTGCATGTGCACATGGCTGGACCAGGTGCCCAAACTGGTGCACACGCATGCAGTCTTGAAAGCTAAGAGCCAAACATAGCAAACCTAGGAGTATCCTAGGAGTCACGTAGTACCGTCCTGCAAGGAGCACCTAGCATGCTCTTTGCAAGACGGCTTTGAGGGATATCTTGGAAACTAAGTGGGCACAAGGTGCCCAACTGAAACACGGTGCGAGACTTTGCCCATTTTGAACATCTGGCACCGACATTCAAGGAGTAGCAAGCACCATCTTGCGAGACCGTCTTTGCTCTAGCATCTTGCAGCGAGCACCTGGTATGCTCTCCGCAAGAGGTAGCAAGACCTGAGGTATTGTACCTGCAGGTGTCTAAGGAACTATGTGGGATCCTAAAGCAGAACTG